ATGGTGTTGTTGGGACGGGGGGCACTTTTCTCCCGCCACGAAACGTTCGGTGATCGACTGGCTGGATGAATGGATGGATGACTTACTCCATATCAATGAAGCGCACACACTTCTGTCACATCACAGGTGCTGAGTCCCCTCCCTCCCTGATCTGCCATCCATTCGTCCCCATCCGCTGTGTCCGTGGCGCTGACCTGCACTCACTCCATGGCCGAGTGGCTGTCTGTGCGTCTTTCGCCTGGGTCACCGGTCCTAGGCAGCGGCAGATAGGCGACCGAGTAAATGTACTTGTGTGCGTGTGGTGCTTGCAGTGCAGTGGACGCCTCGCGCCTGCCGGATTGAGACAGTGTTAGCGACATTGATTGGTCAGTCAATCCATCAGAGAGTCAATTGCGTGGCGACCTGTGCCGTCCACTCAGAGTCCTACTCACAGAAGCAGCAACCTACGCATCAGCACGGCCTAAGCGCCAAGCCAAAAGACCGCTCGACTTTCTACACCTCTGGCAAAATGCCACCACTTGCCACATCGTCACCGCACCAATGCTGCCTGACCCAGTCGTGTCTGCTCTCTCGGATCTCCGCCACCTCATGGGGCTTGGGGCTCCTGGGGAATGTCACCAAACACACATCAGCTGGCAGACACACAGCACCGCCCTCGCTCTCTCCATCCGCAACCCCCTCTCCCGCCCCACTATTGTCTTCACATGGGCCGCCATCTGCTGTGCTCTCCCCGGTCATGAAGACACACCGGGGTCGCGGCGCGCCAGTGCGGAACGTCTGGCAGAAATCGACGATGCGATGCGGCAGAGGGAGCTGGTTGAGGAGGTGCGCGTGCGCGACCATCATCTCCAGCCAGTGGTCGAATCGGTGCACATAGCGGCGCACAGCGGGGGTGAGGGCGGTGGAGATGGGGCGCAGGGATGCTTGGCCGGTCCAGATTATCACACCTGCATGAACAACACAACACACGGTGGATGGATGGATGGATGGATGGACGCGACATGAAGGGCAGGTGTTCTTGGCCCACTTGAGTTGTATCCGCCCTTGGCGAGTTCGCAGTGGATGTCATCTGTGCCCAAGAGGCCGAACGCCCCCCTGTATGCGGCCATCAGGGGCTCCAGGGGTCCCGTGACGACGGTGTCGAGGTCGATGTACACACACCGGCGGCCCTCGAGCTGAGCATCTGGATGGAACAGATAGCTTTTGCCCCACCTGAACACACACGCAGACGCCAATCTATTTGTGGTCAGGAGCCCCTGTCTGTGTGCGGCTACCATCCTGTCAGGTGAGGCGGCAGGTGGTGTGTCTTGATGCCGTCGGCCAGCCCATCACCGTCGTCACAGTAGCACCGAAATTCCCACGAAAAGGAGCTGCCGCTTAGGGAACGACGCACACCCCTGACAACCACAGCAAATGAGAAAAGCATGTACCCTTCCATGAGTCGGCTTCATCCTGTTGCTCACCAGAAGAGTCGATTCACATAGCAGGGAGGGTACCTCTTGCCCCACTTGACGCACACCACAGCAACAGGCGTGTCGGCTAAGGAGCCGTCGTCACTCGGCATCTCGGACACATCAATGGTAGCAGCCGAAGAATCCCGCTGGGCCTCGTGGTGCGGGTGGAAATCTTGTATGTGTCGCCACACCAAGCTGATGGCCTCCTCGCGAGCGCCTCGAGACCTGACCAGACACACAGACACACACCTGGTCAGGGACACACACACACATCTATTGATGGTGCATCCCCGTACCTGAGGATGTTAGAAAGGTTCATGACGGCCTCTGGGCAGTCACTCTTGATCTCCAGTGCCCGTGTAGCCATTGCCGTCGCCCCATCGTCGTCGCCCTGCAGCATCTTCAGCACCATCAGATTCACATAAGCGCCACTCATCCCGCTGTCCAGGCGGGTGGCGGTCTCAAAGGCCCGCTCAGCGTCGGCAAGGCGGTCGGGCCGCAAGCCATAGTAGGCCAGGCCCAGATGGAAGGCCGTGTCGGCGGTGGGGAGAGCGTCGAGGGATGTCTGTAGATGCTTGGCCGACAGGGCATGCTTGGACGCCCTCAGACACAAGAGGCCGAACTTGCGGTGGAGAAGCGCTTGCTTGAGGCAGCCAAGGGCTGACTTGTTGGTCAGATCCGCCGCTGATGGCGGTGTGGCGGTGGTCATGGGATGAGTCGAAGGGCACAGCGGGAGGCGATGGAAACAGTGTTATATCTGAGCGGAATGATTCTTCCCAGCTCGCACATGCAGCAGGGGGCGCAAATTGTGGGCTGGGCGTCTCCGCCGGGATAGCCCCGTCCGGGAAGATGTGGGGTTTGCTGCACACGCAGCGCAGCCCCCGTGTGCAGGGCCAAGAGGGCGACAGTGTGAGAGACGGCCACAGACGCCCCAGCGGTGTTGATGAGGCGTGCTACATCCAGCTGCCGCGAGTCGACGAGGGCGACGCTGCCGCACAGCAGGCCATCCACCACACACAGACAGACCATCCCAAGGTCACCCTGCAATGCCCTTGTGGCACAGTGACCAGCGGCTGCCTCCGACGAGTGGTGTCTGTGTGCGTCTGTCTGTCCACTGCAGATGGCGTCGGCCTCGAGTGAGCACATTCCTCTGCTGCTGGACGATGGCCAAGGGATGATGGAGCCCCAGCTGCCTGACGTCACCGATGACATCACCAAGGCACCGAGACGCTTCGAGCAGGTGTGTTGGTGTCAGTCGACTCTCAGGCCTCTCGGACGTCTGTGTGTCGTCTGCAGGTCCCCCTGGTGGGCGCTCCGGCCGCCGACGAGTGGGAAGCGACAGATGCACTGAAAGACAGCATCAAGAAAGCCATCGATGCGTCAGATGTGGAGGGCCTGCGGAAGGCCCTCGACGGTCTGTCGCCTGAGCAAACCGAGAAAGTGCTGACGACTGGATACGGCTACCATCATGACTCTGCCATCCACTATGCCGCATGTACGCCTCTTTACATCACGACACAAACATGATGATGCAGCTGAGTGGCCCCTGTGTGTGCTCCTCAGGGCGAAGTTCGTCTGTGGCGGTGTTTGAGGTGCTGCTGGACAACCGACGCCACCTGCTCAACCTGAAAGATGGGGTATCGTGCTCGACAATTACACTCATTCTGCCCATTGGCCGACCGATGTCTTCACTGCTGTCTTCATGCTGTGACTGTAGGATGGCGACACGCCTCTTCATTGGGCAGCACGAAAAGGGTCAGTTGGTGTTGTGGAGAAGTTTGTCGAGTGGGGCGGAAAGGAACTGCTGGAAGCTCGGGACAACGTAAGGATAAAGGAATGTCGACTGGTGCATTGAACAGCTGACAGATGTCTTCTCCATTTTGTGTCTGTAGGATGGCTGGACGCCTCTTCATCGGGCAGCAGGTCATTCACTTCTGCAAATGACAACCACAAGGGCATGAGTCTTCAACGTGTCTCTTTGTGTTCTCCTGCAGGGAATCGCCATGTCGATGTGGTGGAGTGGATGCTAAGGGTGAACCCACAGCTCTTGAGGATCAAAAACAAGGTAGGCTGCACTGCGCCGAGGCATTTCTCGGTATTGTCCCTGGTTATGTGACTCTGACAGTACGGAAGGACGCCTCTCGATTTTGCCCTCGAGGAAAGCTATGTGAGGGCAAACGACCCAAAATTCGTTGGTGCGATGTTTGCCGTGGCTGGGGCGGTCGCTATGGAGCTCCTGGGGACAAATGACCAGAAGCTCGAGAGCGTGTTGCGGCAGCCAGAGCTCCTTCCCGACGCTGTTGCTTGCGCGAAACACGGCTTCGTAGAGTGCCTGAGGCGATCCCAGTCGCCCGGCCTCGACACTCTTCGCTGGTGCACTATCTTCCGCAAATTGATGGCTTCACGACCACAGGACTCGCTCACAGAGTAGGATTGAAGAGAGAAAGCGACCAGCATGGATCCGTCTGTCGGATTGTGCAGTGACCTTGCAGAGGTAGCCGGGTGGCTCGAGGTAATGGAGAAGATTCCATTTATTCGCTGTGTATATTCGCGTCCTTTCAGGCTATTACAGCGCGCTTCTGCACCGATACGCGAGAAAAAGAGTTCAAAGAGTCACTCAAAGGCGGTGAGGAGAAGTTCCTTGAGCTGCTTGAAGCCGCTGAGCCACTAGAAGTCGTCACCCAAGGTAAGCCGCACAATTAAGTCCTCTCTCTGTCATTCGACTCACTCCTTTGTGCTGATTGCGGTAGCCAACTGCGTCTCTCTCATAACACATCGCTGGCAGCAGTCCTATTACTTCAACGACATTACCGCCAGATGTCTACCCAACGCGGCGAAGTTTTGCGCGGTAGAGTTTTCACCTCGGAGTGCATTCTTCAGCCGCGTGCTGTCAATGCTGCTGATGTAAGGCTGCAGCCAGGCACAACGATGAAGGCAGAGAGAGCGCATGGCACCTCTTCTGTGCGTGTTCTCAGGGTGGCCTTTGTGCTGCTGCACATCGAGTCGATCAAGGGAGACAGCGGCATGATGATGGCGGGGGTGTGGCTGTGGGGTGCAGTGCTGACCGGCATCGGCTTCATTTTACAGGAGGCCTTCCAAGTGAGACAGACGAGAGGAGACACGCCTGACTGAAAACTATGACATATGTTATCGTCTGTGTGTGTGCAGGGCATCCGCCTGAAGGCAGCGTACTGGGCCGACTCATGGTGGGTGAAGAGCCAGCCGTGCTGGCGGCTTTATGTGTGCTGTCGGCGTGTGGGGGCGTGCATACATGGCTGCAGGAACAACCTCGACTGTGCTGCGGCGGTGTCAATCGCTGCCTTCATTGCCGTCCACTTCCTGGGCTACTCTGCCGAGGCGGAAGTGAGCTCAGGGATCGTTATAGCGCTGCTCTTTGCGCTCCGTCTCCTGCAAGTCGTCAGCATTACTTTTTCCGTCGCCGGACCACTCATTCTGTAAGCGGACGCTCCTGTCCTGATACCCTCCTGCTTCCATCTGTGTGTCATGTGCTTGTCCGTGGGTCAGTGCGGTGGTGAAGATGCTGTCGGACATCCGGAATTTTCTACTGCTGTACATCTACATCCTGCTGGTCTTCGCGGGCGTCTTCACCGTCCTCTCGTCCGACGAAGACCACCAGTACTTCGGCTCCTTCCCCAAAGCCACACTCACTCTGTGCGCATGGGAGCTCATGAGAAGACACAGAGGAACGGGACACCTGCCTCTCTCCGTCTTGTGGTGTTGTGCAGTTTTTACGCGGGTCTTGGTGAGTTCAGTGAGGCGCTGACCAACGCCATAGAGAGCCACGACACGCTGGGGGCCGTCCTGCTGTTCACATACGTCATCCTCTCCTCCATCATTCTCGTACGTCAAAACCACTCAGGCACTCAGCAACATTCAAGGACTCCCTTTGTCTGTCTCTCTGTCTGCCGGCTTCAATAGCTCAACCTCCTTATCGCGATTATGGTGAGAGAGACACGAGGGTATCATGCAGGCGCTCAATTCATGTCCCTTCTGTCTGCGTCAGGCGTCGACGTATGCGGCCATCGAGGAGAAACAAACCTCTCAATACCAGTACAAACAAAGAGGGACAGACAGATGGATGACAAAGAGGCGTCAGAGGCAGAGCGACGTGTCTCTCTCTCCCTTTGTCAATGAGCGCAGGCTGCTGCGGGTTCGCGTGTTGAATGAGTACCTGAATATGCCAAAGCACGAGCGCCTGCCGCCGCCATTCAACCTCATCGGTCAGTGCGACACGGCTACGAGAATCGCCATGCGCTCGTTGAACCGCAGAGCTGTACACGTGGCTTTACATTGTATGTTGCAGCTTTCTGTGGGTCAGCCCCCTTGCGCCATTTCGCGTCTTTCATCAGGGGATGTCAGTCAAGGCTCTGCCGCGTCACCTTTTGGTCCATGGTGGCTCTGTATTCCCTCATCGACGCGTTCCTCTTTACCGTCGCCTTCACACCGGCTTTCCTTTATTGCGCTGTGGAACGCGTTTTACTCTCGCTTCAGAAGAGAGACTATCTCCAGAACAAGGACTGTCCCTGTTTCTTTAGCAGAAGTCTGCACCGCTACACTCGAACGGGAGACTTCTTCCAAAGTCTGTGGAACGCCATTGTTCTCACCATTGTGACCCCATTCACCATACTATTCTTCTTCCTGGGCTTTGTACTCCAAGTAAGAACAGAAACAAAGAAAGCACTGTCCACATTCTGTTGTATTGCCGTGGAGAAGGCATTCGGAGTCTCTCAGCATCCAGGAGTTGCCACAGCCACAGTCGCACGAGTTTCGAAGACGTTTTCGAAGGACAGCATCGACGCGTGGATAGCGGCGGCAGATTCCCACAACGCGACTTCTCCTGACATCATGACAGGTGAGACAAGGCGGATACATGCAACAGATGGAGAAGACCAGCCTTGGAATCTTGCATGCCACGTGCTTGTTGCTCTCTTATCCACTCAGTCTTACAGGGAATGGACAAACGACTGAGGCAGATGGACGAGCGACAGATGCAGATGGACGAGCGGCTGACACAGGTGGACAGGCGGCTGGGGGAGATGGAGACACAGATAAAGAGGAACATACGATGAGATGAACAGACAAAACGGTGGCTGAAAGACATCAATCAATGCAATGCTCATGTGCGGACTCAATGCTACGGTCAAGAGCATGAGACCTCCCTCCGGTCAGGGGGGAGGTCTTGCTCATGCCCCCATCCATCAATCTATCCATCCATTGGGGTGTGTCTTTGCGTGCGAATGACACGCACCCGATAGAGGACTGCTGCATACTGCTGCATAGCTGTGCGTGATGCATCCTGTCTGTGTCCGCGTGAGTGAATGCATCCATCTGCCACACTCAGTGCCTACCAGTGCCACACACACACACATACAGCCCCTCCCGTGTCATATTCGTGTCCCTGCGTGTTTGCTGCTGCCCTTCTGCAACCCGGGCCGGAGTGCGCACCACGTGCGTTGCAACGGTTCACACACAGAGAGGAGAGAACAGCAGCAGAGAGGCTCACACACGGAAAGGCCATTCACCAAGCCGGCCAGAAGCAGCCAGAAGGCCTGTCCGCAATGTCTGTCTGCCAGTGTCCGCTCAACGAATAGGCGACTTTCCCCAGAGCACAAGCAAGGTTCTCTTCCCTATTTAACAGCATGCCCCCACTGCCCCCCGTCGCGACGGTCACCCTTTCCTGTTTTCCGAAATGAAGTTGTACCTGGTGGTCGTGGCCCTCATCTCTGGTCCCTTGCGCCTCGTTTTGGCCTGGAAAGCGTGGGAAGGCGACGACACCTTCTGTGACTCCTTCCCTCTCTGCGAGACTGTGGCTTACGTTCCACCCCCTTCGCGGCCTCCATACGTGCCGCCTGACTACCCTGACAGGCCCCCTCCCGGCAAATGCAACGAGAGCGACTCGACCAATTGCACCGACGATGAGCCACGCCCTCCTTGTACGGGCGCCAACTGCACACGACAGCTACAAGTCGACGAGATTGTCGAACCGCCACTCGATATCTCGCCTGAACCTCCGGCCGAGGAGCCATCCCTTCCCCCGGCCCCCCCCTTTGCGTGCAAGGCCAAGCTGGCAGAGCTCGAAGCACAAGGCCCAATCGCGGCTAATGCCACAGAGGTGGGGCACATGAGTCTCCTGTCACTTCTCATGTGGTCTGATTCTCAGTGCCTCAAGAGAGACTCGGGAAAGTGTTATTCTTATTCAATCGACGGTATGTCGTGAAATAGGGGACGGACGGAAGCACGTGTGCATGGGTTCGGCTTCTTAGGTCCACGCTGCAAGGGATTTAACTACCCTTTCGACTTCTGCGTCCCTCAATCATTCGACATGTGAGTGCACAGCTACAACGAGTGGGCACTTAGCATTGGTAACCATTGTTCTTCGATTTCGCTCAGATACTACGAGAAATTTGCCCTCGTAAGGCGCACAAACTTACATGAAGGCAATGACAAGTCATCTTACAGACCACCATACCGCATGTGTATTGCACTGTTCACAGCTACACAAACTGGGCCACATTCTAGATTGCGGCATCTTGCCGGCTTGCCATAGCGCCGCAACACGAAGTGTATGCGAGGCCGTCGATGACTGTCAGTGGGTCCAAGACCCATACAGATGGCGAGAGTGGCCTTGTGATATCAAGGCTAGCACTCTGGCTCTTTACGTGGCCAGCAATGGAGATCCGACGAAATGCCCTGAAGCCAGAAAGTGGTATGTGGGCAGGGAGTAGGTGACAGGGGATAATCGTAATGACAGCCCTTTGATCTCCTCGCTGATGTGCGCAGGTATGATTGCTTAAAGACCCATGACAAGAAAACATGCAGAAGCAAGAGTGAGATTTGCATGACACAAAGGCGCAACACACTCTCTCCCGCTGTGAGACCAATAAGAAGACTATCTTTCTCATCAGAGCACTGTACTGACAAGACAGGAGACATGTACTACTTACCCTGTTTCCCAACGGCAGACACAATTGCGAAAGCATTTAAAGAGGATGCAAGTGAATGCGGTGGGCTGCATAAGACTGAGTGGCTTCTTATGTGCACATTGAGCGACTCCCTTCATTTACACTGTTCACACCACACAGGGCCAGCTGCCAAGTGTATTGCTCTCACTAAGAAAGCCAACGAGACATGCGTGTACAATGCGACCCACAATGCGACCATGTACATCAAACAGACGGCAGCAGCAAACGGATCGGAGGAATACAGGACACCACCCCCGGTTGTCGACCCAGAGCCAGGCTACCCCCCTGACTACTACCGACCGCCCATTGACCACCGATGTTGGGACCAGACATGTAATACGGACGACTGCCATTTTAATTACTTCTGGTATGGACTGAACCCCGGGTCGTCTCTTCCCTTTGGCCACTGCGACATGAATGCGAAAAGTCCCTACAAGCATCCGGTAAGTATATTACCCGACATAGAAGACTGATTGCTGTGACTGGTCTTTGTCCACTGGTGATATCAGGAGCTCCGTTATCTGCACTCGGATCGATGCCTGCGATATTCCTTGATCAGTAATCGATCACTTATTTATGAATGGTGCTCCAGATATCGGACATACGATAGAACGTCTGGCAATACGGTTAGTGAAGACAAGCAAGGGTATCATTGTCTTGATTATTGAGGACATGTGTCGCTTCGATAGACTGTCGACACTAGAGGCTGCTTTGCGGATAGCTTCTGCAAGCTCGTTTGCAACCACGAAATGGGGAGATGGGGGAGAAGGTCTGGTGAATGCCAAGAATCGACAGCCGGGCTAGTCGACTTCCTGTATGAAGACGGGAATGAAAGTAAGAGCAAAACACGCCACCCCTGGCCCGTGACTTGTTGTCGATTCTATGCAATCAGAAACGTTTCGACTCAACTTGGAGCAGTGCAATACTGTCCATGACTGGTTCAGCTGGGATGTCAACGAACTGACTCAGAAGGATCCTGAGTTTGCCGCAGCTTTACAAGAAAGCTGTCCTGACATACCAGATTTGTCTTCTGTTGTCAAGAAGACAACCGCAGAGAGCGCTCAGGCACTTAGAGACTTCTACCAGCCTGGCCGACCTCCTGCGCCGCCTTCCATCCAACTGCCGACACCTCCTCCCCCCCGCCCCACACTTAAACCGCCACCAAGCAAAGGAGAATGGACCAAACCTGTAAGCCAATCGTAGAAGGGAGGGAGATCTTTTCAAATGGTACGGTGCCTCCTTTGTGCGACGGATGCAGAGTCCCCCTCCTGCAAAGGGCGGCTGCTCTCAGGCAAGAGAAGCTGAGGAGAATCCTAGATAGTCTCCCGTGTTTGAATTGGTATTTCTTGTCTCTCTCAAATGCAGCTGTTCGTCGGCTGTGACGAGCTGACTGAGATTCGCAAGTATGAAGTGAAGACCACCATCAGCGGCATGTCGAGGGACAAACTCACTAATCAACGCAACTGTGCCATCAGCCAGGTCCCATTCGCAACCCCTGTCTGCTCTTTTCCATTGTCCTTTCTCATATTATAGGCCCTCGCCAAAAACCTGCGGCAGAACATGGCGACATCGATAAGCTGTGATGGCTGTAAGTCATCAGTTTTTGCACACTATGCTTGTATTGTTAATGTCCTTGGTTTGCCGCGCAGGCGACTTTTCGTTTTGCGTGGGGTCGCACAATCTCGAGAGCTGCATGGAAAGTCCGACATGCGACGAGAATGTCCAAGTGAGACGCCTGATCCGCGCCAAAACCTTTTTTCTGCGCAGACTCAATAATGAGGACGTGAGTCGTACGACCTGGCCATGAGACACAGCCACACACACGGTGGTGTCTCCATGTCTCCTACCTCCAGGCATCTGTGGACATAACGAGTGTCATCCAGACAGTCGGTGCGACCGATGACGGCCTGGACGTCGCGCTCACCATGGCTGAATCGTCTGGGGAACTAGACAACAGCTTTGCTACGGCTCTCGACGAAACAGACGACATAGACAATGTGGTCGAGGGCGTCATCGGGGTAACCACAGACGAGGAGATACCACCTGCGGCTATCGTAGAGCAAGTCTTCGAGGAGCCCGACATAAATCCCGAATACTTCTCCGTTGATTCCGATCCAGACCACAGCTCGAGCTCAACAGAGGAGCCTGACGAATCCGACGAGGAGTCGGGTGCATCGGCCATCAGCACATCATTGATCACGTCCCTGGCGCTCGCAATTTCGTCTCTGGCCTTCGTCATGCAGACGTACGGACACGCGGAAGAATGAATGCATCTGCATGGCAGATGGGTGGGTGTGCTGTATGTTCTCCCTTAGGGGCCGTGAGGCAGGCGTGGGATCCGCCTTGGTGCCTGGTGTGATGATTCTCTTCTTCATCCTTTCGCTCACCATGTAAGAGAGGCTTTCTAGATGGCAGGACACTCGGGTGTAATGCCTTGTTTGTGTGTCTGCAGGGTCCTCGCCAGCGAGCCGGTAAGCCTGATAGGGAGAAAGTACGCTAGAGGGATTTCTGCCGTTGTCGTTCTCGTCCTCTTGTGGCTGTTGTCTCTGTTGACGCACGCAGCCATCGAGAGCGTGCCGCCTCGCCATTGACCGCCAGAGGATTAAGGGGCTCGCAGCTGCATTCGATTTCGATCTCCGCTCAACAGGAGTGGTACGCACTGCTACACAGTCGTGAGACACAGGCTGCACGGAGAGACGACACACATGATGGGGCTACTTTCCATCCTCGACAGTTCGGTGGCTTGACTCTGAAGCCTCCGGTGTGCTCCAGAGACGGAATGAGCAACGCCGGGTGCTGCCCGGTACTCGACAGCGTCCAGACCAACCTAGGAGCAGGTGAGATGCTTCGAACGACAGACATGACCCACAGCTGCAAGCACAAGCGCGTCGTCTGTAGGTGGAAACGATCCACTCTGCGCTGCTGTCGTGACTGACTTCACGAACGTGGCCGAGCTAGCTGTAGACTCGGACAAGCTCGAGGCCATCTGCACTGGTTGCTTCGCCCAGGCCGTCGACGCGCTCAACGAGGGGATCACAGACGCTAATGGCAAGGGCCCTGGCTGTGCACGTTCAAGCAAGGTACAGAGAAACACCTCATGATGGCACAGATGAACATATCGAGTACACCGTTGACTCATCCGCAGATTATCCGCACGCTTAACACGTTGTGCGCCAAGGTAGGTGAGCGGGTCGGTCAGGGATGGGAATGGAGACTTTCATTGGCATTTGCCCAGGCTGCCGACGAAGAGACGTATTGCCTGACCAAGTATAAGGATCACCTGGAGATACTGGAGGCGGTTGTCGAAGACCACGGTGAGCGAGACACGCGGCAGAGAAGCGCGAATAGCGGCAGAGAAGCGCGAATAGCGGCAGAGAAGCGCGAATAGATCAAGTTGAATGTCTGCCTCTTTTACAGCTGCGCTGGACCCGGTTTTGGTGCCTTTGGCGAACCTGTGCACCGACCGCTGCTTCTTCACCAACATAGGTCTTATCCTCAACTCCATGGGGTCTGAAGTCAAGCGGGCAAATGGACAGCGCACCCCCCGCGGATTTGCAGATGACTATATCAAGATGCTCTGCTCACGCGTAAGCAGAGAAAGAAACGCTTCTCTTGTGTCCGCCCCCTTCAGTATTGTACGTCACGTCGTTGCTGCATTCAGACGACACAAGGCTTCTGCTGGAACAAGTTTGTGAGTCTGATGCCCGCGCCGGGCGGAACACGCAAGAGACCTGGCGAGTGCAGCGGCAGCGGAGACCTCACACCACCGGAGTCGGAGGACGAGAGTCCCACAGGGCCGCCCAAAAAGCCTGGGGAGCTGCCCCAACGTCCCCCTCTCGACGTAAGTCGACCAGTCCGAATACCCTTTTGGTGTGGGCTGTTTTCATGCGGTTGTGCCTGCCTGCATGTAGGGTGACCTTGGCGTGGGGCGTGTTCCGGAGCGCAAAGCTCAAATCGAACTGGAGCCAGGTGAATCCTTGCTCCACATGCATGATAGATGTCACCTCCTTCTCTCTCTGCGTGTACACATTGGTGTCAGGCAATTGTGATGACTTGGAGGCGCGGTTGAGTGCAAATTCCTCGGATAATAAGTACCAAGATAAGTACGGCTGCTGCGGAGCTCTCTACTATCAGTCATTCATCGGTACGGAAACTATGCGACACACGACCACTTCCCTTTCCTCAATGTACGTGTCTCTCGCATGTTCGACTCGGCTGTGTACACCTCTGCAGACAAACAGCGGGTGGCGCCGGCGTGAACAGAAGCCAGCCCATCCACGAGCGCCGCTTTGTATATTGCTCGGCCCCTGTAAAGCTTTGGTACGTTTATCAGTCTTCTCGGCTTTGTGGCTTTGGACGCTTTGCTTAGAGACATGAGCACATAGACGTACCCTACATGTCCTATGATCATACATGATGTGTTAGCGTACGTACAGACAGCGTATATATAGATAGCCGTCGCTGTGCTGTGTGGGCCATGTCTGTCTGAATTGGGCCTTCCGATGGGAAAGAGATAGCTCATGTTGAAGGGATGGGTCGGTGCGAATTAAAGAGACATGCGAGGTGTTCTTGAAGAAGCCACTCATTCTGCGACATATGTCCTGGTGAAATTTAAGAAGAGCGATGGATGAGGTGGGGTCTACGATTGAATGACTGTTTGGAAAATTGTCCATCGGTGCAGGCAGACAAGTGACACAGACCACCGGCAAGCAAGCCCACTCGCCAGCCACCCTCTAACCTACATAATCAGTAGCTGCTGCACACACACTGCCCAGCACGCTGGATCACCCACCAGCCCCCAAGTCGCTCCCTGGCTGGGCCGACAGCGAAGGGCTCCCCTTGATGGCATCGGCCTGGTGCCACATCACTGCACTTTACACCCTCCCTCCCTCTCTGCATACAGCTCGTTGTAGAGGGCCTGGATCTGCTTGTCCTTCTCAGCGAGCTGCTTGTCCTTCTCAGCGAGCTTGTCTTGCAGCGGCAGAGCACCTGCAATGGCATCTTGGCATCTTGGGTCTGCGCGCGAAGAGCATTCAGCTCGCAGTTGGCCTCGTTCCTGATGCATGCAGACGGACACAAAAAGGGTCACAAACCGACACACGCGAGTGCCCTCCTCTCTTGCATCCATACACCTCTTGGGCGGCCTTCTGGTGGTGGTGTTCAGGGTAAGATAGAGGCGGCCTTCTTGTAGTGCGCCAGGATCTCCTGAGAGTTGTTGTAGGCCTGGGCAGGCAGGTAGGGAGGCATACACACGCGCAGAAAGGCACATCAGGTGGCATGGATCACGTCTGGTGCTCTTACGTCTGCTATTTCTTCCTTCTGCTGCCTGATCTGCTCGTCTTTCTGCTGATTGCTCCTCTCGAGCTGATCGATCCGGCGCAGTGCGTCTCGCAGCTGCTCCTGCAGCCGTACGCGGGCCCTTTCCGCCTCGGCCTGCTCGGACCAGTACTGGCCTCCCCCCTCAGTACGGCCTCCAGGTCGTCGAGGGTCGCCTCTGGTGGCTGTCCGCTCGGCTGCTCCTGTTGCAGGCGAGGGATCGATGCAGGTGACGGCGGGTCATTGGGGGGGCACGGCCGGTCTGCCGGTGCCGATGCGGCGAGGGAGGCCGTCTGTGATGGCTGTGCGGACGGTGGAAGGAAGGCCATGAGGGATTTGAGCATGTTGGAGATCTTGGCGTCCACGAGCATGAATGGGTGCTTGAGGGCCTACACACACGCACACAAGCACGCACACGGACGCACACACATCAACCGACAGAAACACATGTGCGGCGGACTGTGGGCTTCCCTGACCTGCCGGCTCGAAGGCCGATCATCGGGGTAGGGGGCGAGCAGGAGGCTCATGAGGTCCAGCAGCGGGTCAGGCAGGAATGTGTCCGCTCTCTGAGCCGCCATCAGCATGAGGGTGGTCTTGCGCACCTGGATGTGCACCGTTGTCCTCAGACGCTCCAACACCTCCTGGATGTCGCCAAACACAACCTCTACCAGCGCACAGCAACGCCAAACAAAACCTCTACCAGCACCTTTTAAGCGCGCGTGGACACGGAGGATTTACAAACGGCGAGAACTGAGACAGCGGCGAGAAAAAATCTTGTAAGTGCAACATGACCTCTGTTCAATCCTCTGTGCGGCCGCAAGCTTGATCACGCGCCGAGCTGAACAGTCGCGTCTTCGGCTCCATTTCGCCCACCTTAAGCCAGCCGCAACATGGAACAGCAGAGCGGCTGAGCAAGAGCCGGCAGCTGGCCGAGGTCTACAGCTGGTGGAGCCTGTAAGGGTCAGGGAGAGGGGAAGCCTCGCCCTCCCCCCCCCTTTCTGATGTACCTGCGTAAGCACCTCGGGTACATCAGCAGCGCTGAGGCTGCGAAGCCGAAGGAGCAGCGCTGGATTATGGTGACTGACTCGTCGGCGGCGCCGACATACCGAGAGCAGGGCATCAAAGGAGCCTCCGAGTCCACCAAAGGCTGTTGGCATCAATCGCAGGACCTGCTCGTGTGTGCTCCGAGCGATGCGGCATCAATTGCAGCAACGCTTGGAGTGTCCTGCGGTGCAGATCATGCGCTTGTACACCCTGCTGGGCCGTGCGCATGCCGCGTCGCTCTACGAGACCACGCTGGCCACGGAAATCCTCAAATCCACCCTCCAGCGCCTGGAAGAGGTCGGATGACAAAGGAGAGAGAAACGACCGCCATCCACCCTTTCAGAGCTTGACTGTCCTTTTGCGTCTCGCAGAGCACCGAGCCGGTGTGGCTATCGTCCCGCAGCACGATTGATCAACTGGAGGGTAAGGAACACTGCCGACTACGAGTCGCTTTTCTCTCATTTCTCTTCCCTTGTGATGGTGTCCTGCCTGCCAGAATTCGTTGCGTCGGTGTCCTCTGCCCTGATGGGCGAAGAGGGTGGGTTGAACTTCATCGTTGTGGCGGTGCTGGATTCGACCTCGCAGCGACAGGTATTCTGGTGCTCGCACAAGCCATCCACACACATATGGATTGCTGAATGGATGACACACATGCGCTTCTGCAGCTGGCGGTGGGTGCGTCGGCTCTGAATTTCAGAGCCATATCCATCTCCGCCATCATCAATGGTAGGCAAAATAGCCACTGCAAAGTCCTGCCAACGGGCGCACTACGTGATGGTGTTTGTGTCTGTCTCTACTTGTTAGCCTGTGCGTTCTTCCCCTCGTTCACGCCTGCGGCAATGTTGGATCAGCGCCGTACGATGCTCGAGGGTATCCTCTGCTCCACCAACCTCAGTGAGATCGCCAGGGCCCAGATAGATGGAGAAGAGCCTACAGGCAACATCTTTAATGCTTCGTGTGCCTGCGTGCGTTCCAACAGCTGCCGATATCGTCCCCCGTGCGCAGCGCAAGATACTCGAAGCGCTAACACACCCGTACCTGGTAGGAAATTCCCCAGACCCAAAAGAGATACACACCGACACACACACTTCGGGCTGCCTGTTGTCCTTTGTCGGCGTGCGAAGCGTGTGAGGCGTGTGAGTCGTCAGAGGGGGGTCCTCGACGAGGTGTGGCTGCGCGTGAGGAACCTGGCGACCACGGCGACCCCCGACGGCGGCGGATCGATCGCTATCAAACTACAGGACCTCATCACGAGCAGTAAACCAACCCCCAACAACACAACACAATACACCATCGGTCATTTCCTAGGGCTAGGCGACCGTGGCGGCCATACCCTCTGTTCGAGTGTCGCGTCTGAAGGATCGTCGCAGAGCCACAACGACGGACTTGTCCTGCCGTCAGGGCCGTGTCCCGACTGGGCACCCGGGTAGGAGGTGTGGAGGCGCTCGCTGGCATGTGGGAAGACCTGACACCGACGGCACATGAAGTAAGGAAAGAGAGGGAGGGGGGCCGACACACATTGAGCGAATGTACTGTCTCTCCTCTCCCGTCGCGTTAGCATCGCTGCCTGTATTTTATATCGCGAAGACCTTTTGCTGCCTCCATATGTCTCATCGTGCTGCTGTGTCTCGTATGATCGCCACCGGCTCGCGTGCCCAAGACACCCGTCCGACGCACCCTGCGCCCTGCATCGGCCCCGACATGGATTCCAAGTCTGGGAGCACGACTGGCGGCATCGCCCAAAGTGAGTGTCTCGTTGGCCGATATATACATAGAGAGAGAGACACGCACACGGCTGTCTGTGTTCTGTGCCAGGAGGGGAACGATATTCTCCTGGTTCAGCGTGGTGCGCCAAAATCTGACATGTGTGTGTGCATGAATTGTAATGCTCGTGATTCGGTGAGGGACAGACGCTGCTGCCTTGTGTGACCCACTTTTTGCTTCAACCATCAAATTAAAGCCAACACTTAGTTGGATTATCCGTTGCTCACTACGACGGGTTTGCTGTTCGCTTCGACAAACGATCATATGCTCACGGCGTTCGTCTCAGTGTCACTGAGCATCATGCACCAGGGGGCATACGTAGATTGCCGCGTCGCATTGGTGTCTCACGCAGTCCATCGACAAGAATGGCGGTGCTATGAGATGTCGCCAATCTCTATGTTCGTCACGTCTCAAGGTTAGCCAAATGATGCCTCCCATCATCTGTTCCGGGCAGAGACCAGTCACTGTATGAGTTTGGAAGGTCAATGGCGTCACACAGATTGAGGCACGTGGGCAATTGATGTTTCCATAGGCCATCCATCACAATTGGTGTTTCATCCAGTGTCTCATGTTCATTTCAGCTTCGCCTTCATCTCCTTGATGTGCGCCTCCATCTCCGTCTGTCGCTTGTCCATCTGCTGCACAACTGGGGGACAGTCCGACAGGGAGAGAGAGAAGTCGAGATGGAGTGAGGCGAATATGCCTCCGTCTTTCCTTAAGACAGATGATCCTCATCACCTGAGTGAATCTCATCTTTGACGTACGCTTTGAAGTGCGTGAGGGCTGCACGCCGGACAGACACAGACGCCTTCCTTGTAAAACGCCATATCTGCGTCCCTGTCTCACCTGTTATCACGTCAGGTACGCCCGAGTCGTGATGGTCTGCCGCCTCGATCCATTTGTCGATGCTGTCCTTGATTGATTCCCGTGCTTCACGCCTCTTATCAGCCATCTCCGACTGTCACTGTCAGTTTCGGTGGCGTCAAATGAAAACAAGGAGTCCTACCCAAACATTCCAGAGAAACGAGACGAGGTCATTGATTGTCTCATGTGACTTGTCTTTTGACCCTCACTCGCTGGGCGTATTGGCACAGAAGAAAAACGGGCCACAGGAGGATGATAAGGGGCGCGCACAGTACGTCCATATAGTTCCCATCCCGTATCCTTTGTAGGAGTAGCCCCAGCACTTTGTAGATGGTCACGGGTGTGAAGGCGACGACAAGCAGGAGTCCGTCGACGGTGACGTAGACGGCCTTCATCGACCAAAAGGCAATGCAGCAGAGTGCCGACTGTTCTCTCCGTTGTTCGCTGATGAGGGAGGCGAGATATCGCAGGGGCTCCGACACGACCACAGCTAAAAACGCACAGATGCCCCTCACATGTTATGGATGCAGTTTATGTCTCTTATAGCACCGACCGATGAGGTTGAATGGCGGCGGCAGTCTTTCGTGGAGCGGCATATTCAGGTACTCATTCAGCACGCGAATCCGCAGTAACCTGCAGGCAGAGTCCTTGTCAGCCGCTGTCTGTCTGTCTGTCTGTCTGTCTTGTCGGTTGTCATGTCGGTTGTCGCCTCACTGATATTGTGCGGTCTGTGTCTGCTCGATGGCCGCATACGTTGACGCCTGACGCACAAGACAAATACGCACGCAGGAGCCGCTTAATGTCCCGTATGAGTGTATTTTCTGTCTGTCTCACCATAATCGCGATAAGCAGGTTGAGCTATTGATGCGCAGCGGCAGACACAGAGGGTGCCATCGATTGTGTGTGTGTTGCTGAGTGAACGAGTGGTGCCGCCGTACGAGTATGATGGAGGAGAGGATGACGTATGTGAACAGCAGGACGGCCCCCAGCGTGTCGTGGCTCTCTATGGCGTTGGTCAGCGCCTCGTTGAAGTCGCCCTGTCCGGCAAAGAAACTGCACAACACAACAAGACGGAGAGAGGCCGGTGTCCCTTTCCTCTGTGTCTTCTCTGAGGTCCCATGCGCACAGAGTGAGTGTGGCTTTGGGGAAGGAGCCGAAGTACTGGTGGTCTTCGTCGGACGAGAGGACGGTGAAGACGCCCGCGAAGACCAGCAGGATGTAGACGTACAGACACAGAAACATGCTGATGTCCGAAAACATCCTCACTACCGCACTGACACACACACAGCATCAGACGCCTCTCTCTGTGTGCGGCCGTGTGGTTCTCTCTCTCACTGACAGTATGAGTGGTCCCACGGCTGGGTGCAGACTGGCGGTTTGCAGGAGGCGCAGCGCAAAGAGCAGCGCTATGACGATCAATGAGCTCACTTCCGCCTCGGCAGAGTAGCCCAAGAAGTGGACGGCAATGAAGGCCGCGATCGCCAGGCTTGAAGACATGTCGATGACATTCCTGCAGTGATGTATGCCAACAACAGCACACATAAAGCCGCCACTCGGTGTCTCTGCAGTCGCCAGTATGGTTGTCTCTGCATTTCGGACTCGTACCATGAGTCGGCCCAGTAGGCTGCCTTCAGCCGGATGCCCTGCACACACACAGACGATGACATATGTCATAGTTTTCAGTCAGGCGTGTCTCCTCTCGTCTGTCTCACTTGGAAGGCCTCCTGAATCACGAAGCCGCTGCCGGTCAGCACTGCCCCCCACAGCTACACTGACTGGCCCATCACGGCACTCTCAATCATGCTGTCCCCCTTGATGGACTCGATGTGCAGCAGCACAAAGGCCACCCTGCAAAGCACACAGAGAAGAGATGCCATGCGCTCTCTCTGCCTCCATTGTGGTCCATAGCTGCCGTCTTACATCAACAGCATTGACAGCACGCGGGTAATGAAGACATCGCGGGGCGATAGGGGTATCGTCGGCCCTCCTTCGTACGGTGGTTGCCAGTGCTTCTCGACAAGAGAGATGCAGTTGGCTATCACAATCATTCGCAGCAGGAAGGGGGAGGAGAAACGAGCGCCTTGACATAGACAGGGGGGAAGTCTCTGTGTTGGCTACCTTGAGTCACTACTGTCAGGGGCTCCGCAGACTCGAGCAGCGCAAACCACTCTCTCTCTGCCTGCAAGTGAGTTTCGGAACAAGGCTTCGTCTGTATCGCTGCAGAAAGTCGCCGTGAGCGCCTGAACCGATGGGTCAATGCAGAATGCAGGTGTGTGTGTTCCTTCCTGATTACTTCCTGCCAGTCCGCAACGGTCCCGATGTCACTGCAGGTACTCACACAGACATACAGATGTCAGCATTGTATCGCTTCCCTTCTGTTCAATCGCACTCTGTGAGGGAGTCCTTCTGTCGTGTCTGCATCAGCTTGCGGAAGATGGCACACAAGCGAAGGCTGCCGAGGCCCAGCGACTCAGAGCGGTCCTTCAGGTATCCCTTCGTGAGGGGCACCATCTCCTTGAGATCCTGAGCGGTCACATCTTCCATTTTCGCGCCCCGCTCGACCAGCTTCACAGCCAGGTCCTCAACCAACACAACCATCGCAGCGAGGACTTTCGGCTCCTTTTTTCTCTTGAGGGTAGCATCGACAGGCGTCCTTCCGTTCTATCAGAGTCACATAACCAGGGACAGTTCAGGCACGGGGCTCGATAGGTGCAGTGCAACTTACTTTGTCTTGGATCTTCAGGAGCTGTGGGTTCACCCTCAACATCCACTCCACCACATCGACACTGCCATTCCCAAGAGACACGTTGAAGACTCATGCACTTGTGTGGCTGTCATTTGCAGGAGGGACTGACTTGCTGCCCAATAAAGAGGCGTCTCGCCACTCTACATCCACAGCATGAAAGAGACACATGCTGTCCAATGCACCAGTCGACATTCCCTCATCCTTACATTGTCACGAGCTTCCAGCAGCTCCTTTCCGCCCCACTCGACAAACTTCTCCACAACCCAAACTGACCCCTTTCTTGCTGCACAATGAAGAGGCGTGTTGCCAAACTATAGACACAAAATGAAGAAGACACATGCTGTTCAATGCACCAGTCGACGTCCCCTCGTCCTTACCTTGGTCCGAGCTTCCAGCAGCTCCTTTCCGCCCCACTCGACAAACTTCTCTACAACACCAACTAACCCTTCTCCTGCTGCCAAATGAAGGGGCGTCCCGCCATACTACAGACACATCATGAGGGTAGGAGTGAGAAGATCGGTCAGCCAATGGGCAGAATGAGTGTAATTGTCGAGCACGATACCTTCTTATCTTTCAGGTTGAGCAGGTGGCGTCTGTTGTCCAGCAGCACCTCAAACACCGCCACATCCTTACGCTCCCCTGAGGAGCACACACAGGGGCCAGGCAGCTGCATCATCATGTGTGTGTTGTGATGCGACGATGCATACATGCGGCATAGTGAATGGCAGATGTCAGGAAGTCGTGGTTCCACTTTCCAGTCGTCAGGGCTTTCTCGGTTTGCTCAGGCGACAGACCGTCGAGGACCTTCCGCAGGCCCTCCACATCTGATTCCTCGATGGCCTTCTTGATGCTGTCTTTCAGTGCGTCCGTCGGTTCCCAATCGTCGGCGGCCGGGGCACCCACCAAGGGGACCTGCAGATGACACACAGACGTCCGAGAGGCCTCAGAGTCGACTCACACCAGCCCACCTGCTCGAAGCGTCTCGGTGCCTTGGTGATGTCATCGGTGACGTCCGGCAGCTGGGGCTCCATCAGCCCTTGGCCATCGTCCAGCAGCAGAGGAATATGCTCACTCGACGCCGACGCCATCTGCAGTGGACAGACAGACGCACACAGACACCACTCATCAGAGGCAGCCGCTGGTCACTGTGCCACAAGGGCATTGCAGGGTGACCTTGGGATGGTCTGTCGACGTCTGTGTGTGGTGGATGGCCTGCTGCTTGGCCTGCTGTGCGGCATCGTCGCCTTCGTCGACTCTCGGCAGCTGGATGTAGCACGCCTCTTCAACACCACTGGGGCGGCTGTGGCCGTCTCTCACACTGTCGCCCCCCTGGCCCTGCAGACGGGGGCTGCGCTGCGTGTGCAGCAAACCCCACATCTTTGCCACGCAGGCTGGCCTGGCCCCCTCTTGCCCCCCCTGCTGCATGCTCAACGATTCCAGGGTTTCATGCCCGGAGGTGGAGATGCCGAAGAGCCGCCGGCGAGCTTCGCCGGCCGAAGCACCACCTTTTCGCGCACCTCGTCGGGTAGTGGACATGTGACTGACACATACCAACTAGAGAGACATTAGTTAAGGCCTGTCGTGTCGTTTGTGTGGATTGTCCACTTGGCCGCCCTCTGTGCAGACATTCAATGACCTCCATACGACACCCAGCCGCCAGGCAACGTATACCGATCCAGTGACCCATTCCAACTTGGCCATGGTTCGGTTGTTAACTTCCGCATTCATTGTCCCACTATCAACATGCAGAAGAGCAACCCTCTCTCCCTCCCTCCTCCCTCCCTCCCTCTATCGTACGCTACCGCCATGGCCTCGGACTCGCACCCATGGCCTAAAACCGACATGTAAATGACCAACCATTCATATTTCAGATCTGTGTTTGTTCGCTCACCTGCGACACGTCAATTAAGGCGGTCGAGAAGCAGTCAGTGACACCGAGGGCTCCTTCCCCGCCGGTGCCATCTGCATCGTCACGCTGAAGCCGTCCGACGACCCCGTGCTGATCTGTCGCTCAAAGGCTTCTGCTGTGGCCTTCTTCCGCCGACTGGGGACGCCGAGAAAGCCGACGGTGGCCTTGTGGATGGCTCTCAGCTTCATCAGGGATCCAACAGTCGTGGCGGCGGCCTCAGCACTCGCCCTCAACGACTCGCCAGTGATGTCAGGCACTGAATACACACGCAGAGAGATCAACGAGCCGTCCATCGTTCTTCCATGCATCAGTACCCGTGTTGCCCCCACATGTGTACGTACCGACAAAACACTCCAACTGTTCTATCTCAGGCAGCTGCTCCTTCTCCTCACCCCACTGCAGCCCGCCCTCCCCCAGGCCGTCCACACACACCTCCACCTTCGTCAGTTTCTTGTCTGGGCCGATCGCCTTGAGCACCCCCATGACCTCAGCTGGCCCAGCCAACAGCCAAACTGGATTCCCTGCCTCCAGTGACGGACACTCACCTCTCCCAACGCAGGCATCTTGGCAGCCAGCAGCTCGACAACGCCGCGTCTGTTGCCGCTGTGGATCTCCAGGCGGGTGGCATTTGGGTGTGCGTCGAGTGGCAGGTGGGGCAGAATAGCGGGAATGGGGGCAGGGCCGTTGTCAGGGAGGGCATCACAGCGCACCGATACCACAGTGGCTTTGCTGAAGGTGAAAGTGGAGGCGAGGCGCTTCTCGTCCTCGGTAGGGGTGTCGAGTGCGGCAAGTGTCTGCGGGTTGCTGGGTATGCGCCAGTGCACGCTTGGGATGACACTGGCGAGTCGGCTCATCGAGTCGGCGAAGACGCCCGAGGTGTTTGGGGGCAGCAGGGGGTCGATGAATGGCAGTGAGAATGAAAGAGGTCCTTCTCGTCTGTCCACGTAACACGCCTCGAGGTCAGGAAAGTCGAGCGTGAGGGTCTGCGGTGTGCTGCCGGCCGCCGCGTTGAGCCGGTGGAGCGCCGACAACGTCGGGAAGAGGTACCGAGGTCCTCTCTGGATGCCGATCGCACTCAGCGTGGCCTTGATGGACGTCAGTGAGCTGCCGTGCTGTCTGAGCATATCCTGAACGAATGCATTTCACAGACACATGCAATCAACTTGTCGGTCGGTGCAAAGCAGTCAATCCTTACCTTCACTTGGTCGAGAAGTGCCCAGTCGTCATTGTCATTGGGCGTTGCCCGGCGAAGGGGCGCCAGAAGGAGTGGCCCGAGTGTCTTGAGGCCCGCCACAGCCGCTGGAGACATCGCAGACACCACATCGGCAAGGTTCTGCATCCTCATGGCCACATCGAGGTGCGCGAGGCTCTCCGACGTCGCAATGAATGTCAGCATCACGTCACGCGGCAAGCCCTGCCCGCCCCCCAAGACGGTCCCAAAGCTGGTGTTGTCCCTGGTCACCATGTTGCCCTCCACCCGCTCTAGTGCCTTCATCTTCCAGCCCCGCCTGTCGATCGTCTTGGTGTGAGAGATGCCGACGCCGGTGAGCGTCTTGAGGTCGGGGAGGGATGGATGTGCGTGCGAGGGGAGGGGCGGCAGGGGCGGGATGAGCAGCGAACGGCAGGGAGCCGTGGACGACACTGGGACAGTCTCAAAGGCGATGCTCTCGACGGATTTCGCCGGCCGCTCTGACGTGTGGCCGGACGCTTGGCCCTCCACAACCCCCACCCACACCTCCTCACCCCACGCACCCGTCATTTGGCGCACAGTGATGCGCTCCAGATGCGCCAGCGTCATGCCCCACTCGAGTGCGCGCTGGAAGGGGAGGCGGTCGAAGAAGTCACGCGAGCGCGGGTCGGCGCAGTCTATCACGAGGTGGGTGTAGTAGGTGGCCAGCCGGCCCCACACGTCGCCGGGCAGGTCGGCGAGGAGCCGGAGAGGCAGGTACGCCAGAGTGGTAAGGAGCAAATCGCACTGCACGAGCGAGGTAGGGAGGGAGGGAGGGAGGGAGGGAGGGAAGAGACCAGCAGATCATACACACCACACCCGCTGCATCTCTCCAGTATCTTTCGTTGCTCACCGGTAGTTTCGAGGCAAAGGTCTGCATGGGCTGCTGAGGCGCCGGGCATAACTTCGGCGCCTGCAGCATCATCGATATACGGATACGAACATGTCCGGCATTTGCATCGTACGTGCAGTGCAGTGCATGTATGTCACGCACCAGCGCCTTGCGCATCATCAGGGCTATGTGCGAAGGGGTCTTCTTCTGCACACCAACGGACAACAAACCTCAGACAGCCCCCGGCCAATGCATCGTCCGATGAGTTACTCTCACCATCAGCTCGAATGCGATTTTGGCCTGCAGCAGCTCAACCAAAGGGGCCACATCCAAGTAGCTGGCCGTCTGAGCAAAACGAAAACGGACCATGCGCATGGTGTTATGAATTCACGCGTGTGGCGGTCCGGCTCTCTCACCGTGATGACGTCGCACAGCGTTTGGCAGGTCATTTCCTCCAGATATCGGACGTCCCACTCATCCACAACCTGCCGCAACCGCAATTCATCCAATCAACTGACCGGCGTACACATCTCTCTGTCCGTCTTACCTCTTCAATGGTGTCTTTGATGATGGGAATGGAGATCGGCGATGCCTCCCGGTCCACATGATGCTCGCAGTAGTCCATCACCTTACGCAAAGGCAGCTCACGCACATTGAGAAGGGGAATGCTGTCGTTCGGCTCGTCGGAACCTGATGCATGACATGCAGCATGGCCATTTTCATTGCCTCTTGACATCTGTCCTAGTGCGTCTGCCCACCTTCCGCCAAGCTCTGTACAAGTCCCGACATACATGCCGCCCTTCTGTCCACCGCTACCTCCCCTCCCGCGGCCTGCAGCCGCAGCGTCATGCCAGGAGCTGGGGAGTGTGCAGCAGGCCTTGCTGACGCCGCGGAGCCGTGGCCTTTCGCCGAACCCTCTGGGCGATCCGGCGGACAGGAGAACGGGGAGCGTCTCTATCCCATTGCTAGAAGGGGATGGACACGGCACACGAGTTGAAAACAGGTATCTCGCAGTTCATCACACCCGTCCCTCTCTGCTTCTCGCCGTTCCCATGGTCCCGACACGCACTCATCTCTACAGATGTCCCACGCAGATCTACGCATCCTCATCCAGCACTGACATTCTAGCCCCCTGCACCATCCCCTCCCTGCCCGCCCTCTCCGTCACAGCCCTCCTTGTGCAGCGTCTCCAGCCGGGGAGGGGCTGCGTCCACACCGCCGCTCAGAAGCGACAAGAGCCCATCCTCGTTGCCGCTCGGCATCAAGCTGCCGTGGCCACCCTCGGCTGCTGCAGTCCCAGCTCCTATAGCCACACTGGCATGTGCGGCAGCAGCGGCGGCGGCAGGCTGAGCTGAGGTGGCGTGTTGTGCACCAGATGGAACGACTCTGTCGCGTCTTCTCCGCTTGACCTTCCTCAGGAGCTCCAGCAGTTGCAGAGAGTCCAGCGTGTCGGATGACTTCTGACTGTCGCCATCGCCCTCGCCGTCGCCCTCATGCTCCGCCTCTTGCGCTGCTGCTGCTGCTGCTGCTGGTACTGCAGAGGCAGCCCCACTCTCCTCACCGCAAGCAAGCCGCCCGCCCTCTCCTCCATCGCCAGTCAGGTCGATGCAGGCGGCCTCCTCATGAGCATCATTCTCCCCCTCTCCACTACATCTCTGTCGTTTCCGCCGCTCAGACGTGCCATCTCGTGACCGCCGGTCCGGAACGGTGTCACTATTGGTGCCGCTGTCTGCCGCTTCTGGCCGGGCGGCATCTCGTGCGGCGTCGGCGAAGGGCGCAGGGGGGTGTCGGATCTCATAGGGCTGCGTTTCGTGTTGGCTGTCGTCCTCCTGAGCGACGAGAGGGACACCTTGCATCACCACGCACAATGGAGAGGAAATGAGTCACCTGTCGCAGCAAATCACCTGCAATCAATCAAAGGCGCAGGGTAGAATGACGTATAAGGCGTCAGATGGTTGATTCGTACGCTTACTGTGCTTCCCCGCATTCATTCAGCGACAGGACTGCGGATCGTTCACCTCATCCGAGCTCGCACGCGCCGCTGGTCCGCTGTTCTCCCCTCTGAAGTGTCTTGAGTACAGCAGCGAGCAGCATCATCTGCCAGATCTCTTGATTCGACCTTCCCGAATCCTGATCTCTTTCATTGGTTCTGTCTGCTGACAAGACTGCTGTCCGCCATGCCAGATCCACGTGAGAGGAGGCACCGCTGCCATGCACAGCTGGCTGCTGCCCTCCTGATTCCCTTTGCCGTCCTCCCATCAATCGCCATTCATCGCACCGATGTCCATGTCCACCACGGACATCTGTCCCCCGCCTTCCTCCACTCGCCCTTCCCCGCACTCTCCCTCCGATGCAGAAGAGCCGCCCTGCCAACACCCCTTCGAAGCCGGTCGTCAACACGGCTCGTCTGTTCAGCGGTGGCCACACAGACCGAGGCCTTCCAGCTGCCATTCCGGCGGATGCGGGGCACCGAGTCAGTGCCCAAGGAGTACCTGGCGACCGAGCTCTTTCTCAACGGGGAGTACCTGCGGTTTCTGGTCGACACGGGCTCCACTCAGTCAATCTTGACGAGCGACACAGTGAGCTCCCTGGGAGCGGCGCTGAAGGAGCAGGACAGGGAGACCTACACGGCTGCCGGGCTGCCCGTCAAGACGGGCGTGGCGCGGGTGGAGGGGGTGCGTGTGGGGGGAGGCGCCGAGGGAGGCATGGAGGTCAGCCTCGATGCGGCCGTACTCACACAAGCGGGAGTGCTGCCTGCTGGCGTGGCAGGTGCGGCATCAGGAGAGGGAGGGGAGGAGGGCAAACAGTTGCGCAGCTGTGCAAGCGTGTGTGTCGGTATGGTGTGATTGTGTGCAGGTTTATTGGGTTTGGATTTCCTATCGCAGTTCGGAGCCATTGATGTGGACTTTCTGGAGGGGAAGATCAAGCTCTACCCCAAGGGACAGGCCGCTGCCGCAAAGGTAACCACTGACCCACGCCACACCACGACACGACACCAGAGGCCACATCTGCCTTGCCCCCTTCACTCATTCATTCACTGACAGGCTGCCCTGCAAGAGGCAGCGGCCGATCGCAAGGACCTCTCCCTCATCGCCACGCCCGTCAGCTCCCTCCCCGGGCCCCTCCTCGCCATCGACGGTGCCCTGTCAGAGCAGGAAGCGCCCGTCACGGCCGTGTTGGACCTCGGCTCAACCTACTCGATCGTCAACTGGCCTGCGGCGAGGAGTGTGGGCATCGACAGGGAGGCCGAGGGCGTGCAGCGGGGCGTTATGAAGGCCACCGGCATTGACGGGGCACCGATTGAGGTCGACAGGGCGGCCTTTCCGCTGTGTGGCGTCAAGGGCACCGACGGGGCGCTCAAGGCCTTCAAGAGGGTGGGTGATCTAGGGGAGGGGGGAGGAATGGCGAGGAGGATGGTGACACGGATTGCTTTCTTCTCTGTCCTTTGTTTGTCTGCTGTGTTGCAGGATGTGAAGCTGAATGTGGCTGATTTCCCCTGGTTTGCTCGTGCTGGCTTGGCGGACAAACCTGCGATGCTGCTCGGCCTGGATGTGCTGGGCGTAAGAATGGACTAACGAGCCGAGATGCCACAACACACGTCATTGCGCCTGTGTGTGCAGGCTGGTCGGCTGCTGCTGAACTTTGAGGACCAGACACTGTCGCTGCTGAGAGCACCAATCGCCGAGAAAAAGAAAGGTGACACACAAGGCAGGAGGAGAAACCGCCGCCGTCACTGTCACTGTCACTGCAATGTCGGTTTTCTTTCCAGATGTGCCGATCTCAGTGTCATCGATCTCCACCTCCACAGCTGACATGGACACCAAGGCGGCTGACACGGCAGCCGCACAACAAGACGCCGAAACCAAGTGAGCAGTCGCACAACCCACCGGCCACAAAAACGTCGTATATATGCAATGTGTTGGCCAATTCGTCAATCAGGGAGCGCATCCAGGTGGAGTTCCAGTCTATGCAGCAGAAGCTCGCTCAGCGGGCCGTCAAGTTCTCGGAGCTGCAGGATGAGCTCAAGACAGCGGGGGTCTCCTACAAGGACTGCAGGAGCACCGACGAACTCATACGGAGAGTCGCTGAGGTAGCGATGACACGACAACATGGCCTATCCATGTGCACGTGTGTGGTGTGTGTGAGCTGCTTTGGTCAGACGCGTGTGCGTGGGGCTGCGGTGGTCAAGAAGGAGCAGGAGGAGAAGGCGCCCCCAGTAAGCATTGCACTCACATGAGATCAGGGGAGCCCTCGTTGGCTGATGCATATCTTCATCTGTGTATTTATTGCAGGACCCCACAGCGGAACGCATGAACGCAGCCGTGGAGCGGCTGACAAACGAGGTACGCACAGACACAGACACACCTGCACTGACGGGCTGCACTCATGCACATGTGTTCATGTGTCTTGTGTGCTGTCTGTCTGTCTGTGGTCTGGCCAGTTCCGGTCTCTTGACGAGCGGGGGAAGCGCGCCATGATTGAGAGCATGGCCACCAAACTGGCGGAGAGCGGAATGGACAAACAGTTCACTAAGGCATCTGGTGCGTGGGCAGCGCACACTGAACCGGCTCACATGGCCGCCTCACTCTCCCTCTGTCTTTGTGTGTGTGTGTGTGTATGTGTGTGTGTAGAGTTGATACGTGAGTACGCTAGGTATGAGGTGTCATTACAGGGCAAACCAACCGGGGAGAGGAAAAAGTAAGAACGAACGAGGACACAGGCAATCCATCCATCCATCCATTTGTGTGTGTGTGTGCACACAGGTCGAAGAACGAGGGGACGATGAGCATCACCAACTACTCAGACGAGGCCAGGAGAATCAAGGTGGGCGAGGCGAGGCGAGGCGGGCCATCAGTCAGGCAAATCCGGCCACACACTCTGACGCATTCATCCCGCCTCCCTTCGTGTGCTCTCGTCAGCTTGAGTTCGACAAAGTGCCGGAAGCAGACAAGGTCACCACACACACACACACACACACGACACATGTACACCTTCACTGCCGTCCGGTGTGTTGTGTCATCCACGCATCCATCCCTCAGCCACTGAAGCTTGAGGAGTACAAGCGAGAGCTCGACGAAAGAGGGGTACACAGAGACAGAGGGAGGGATGGAGGGAGGGAGGGATGGAACGACCCCACACTCTGCTGCTGTCTGTCTGTGTGCTGTGGTGTCCGCCAGGTGGATTATCAGGACTGCACCGTCGAGCGGGAGCTCATCAACCGGCTGGCCTACGCAAGGGTCTTCGGCAAACCAAAGGGACAACCACAAAGGAGACGGGTAAAAGCCGTCCACTGAGAATTCACGGATGGATGGATGGATGGATGATCGTGTGTGTCTGCTGTATTGTGTGTGTGTGGTCAGCCCGACGTCGTTCAAGAGTCCCCAATGGGATGTAAGCAAGCCACAAAAGGACACATGGACACCCACACGCGGCTCATGACATGTGTGTGTGTGTGTGTGTGTGTGCATGTCAGACTCTGACAGCTCCGGTCTCGTCTCCCTCTTCGACTCACCATTCGACAGAATATTCGAGGTTCCCAACCACACAGCCAATGACACGCCAGCCACCAACACACACCCATCTCTCCCTTTGTTTCTATCACATCAGGAGTTTTTCGGCGATTCGTGGCCGTTCGGCTCCCTCAGTGGCGGCATCGTGCGGGGCGGCCCAATGGGCGGCATGCAGCAGCCGGGCGGCCGGCAGATCAACATCTTCACAGAGGAGGGGGGCGACCAGCAGCAACAAAGGGAGCAGATCAATGTGCGAGAGGAGGGCGAGAAGCCCTCGCCCACCCCCAGCCCCGAGGAGCTTATTGCCAAGGAGACCGACGCCGATTTGAAGAAATTCGTCGACAGGACAGTGGGCGACTCGGCGGGACAAAAGTTCCTAGCGAAATCTCTACAGGTAAGCGGCCGGCCGCAAAGACCTGCCACCCATACGCACAAACATCCGTGGCTGTGTGTGTGTGTGTGTGTGTGCGTGTGTGTATGTCCCTTTTTGTTCATTCTGTTCAGGACCCCACCCTGCGTAGCTTGCTGAAGGATGTGGCGCAGAACGGCTATGACGCCGTCAAGGCGAGATACAAGGACGACGCAAAGGGGCTATACTTCCTCGAGAGATTTCGGGAGCTCAACATCATCTGATGACGATGACCACACTGACAGGCAGGGATGGATGTGTGTGTGTCTGGGTGCTGTCTGGTGTGCTCATCTGTCTGAGAGAGTATTTCTTGCTGCTGCTGAGCAATGCCGAGAGAGAGAGAGAGGCATTTCGTTGTGTGTGTGTGTGTGTGTGTGTGTGTGAGCCAGGGGAGATGGATGGATGGATGTGTGTCGACGGTCTGGGAATGGAGGAGAGAGGGCGGCCTGTTCGCACAGTGCCGCGCAGATGTACACATGCAATGCATGTCTGCTGGACGGATGGTGACACGAGAGGCATTTTTCTGTATATGGATGGCTGAGTACACGCCTGTGGCCGGCCGAGCAGCGCGTCCACCACGGAATGAAGCCAGTCCACCCTTGGAAATGAGTTTCAATCCTTCCCCTAAGCGACGGCTGATTGTCGTATGGAGATGATTGAATGTCTGCACAGAGGGCGGCCAAGTGGACAATCCACACAAACAACACAACATGGGCCCTTAACGAATGTCTCTCCAAGTTGGTATGTGTCAGTCACACACTACCCCACGGGTGCGGCGAAAAGCTGGAGGCTGAGCTCGCCCTGGGGGCGACCGGCGGGCTCTTCCCGCGTCTCCACCCGGGAGTCGACTGACTGATTGACTGACTGACTGGATGAGTGACAAAGATGGGTCTATCAGGTGGGGGATTGGTTGCACGTGATTGTGATATGAGGAGGGAGGGAAGGATCTCGATATGTACGATGAGTGACACGTTCGGCACTTTCGCGTGAGCACCTGGTGGTGTACTGTCCAATCTCACACAAAGAAAAAAAAAGGCAGGAAGAGGCTGAAGCTCGCACATGCAGCAGGGGGCGGCCCGGATGGGGGCGGGCGTCTAGCGGGCGTCTCGCGCTCAAACAGCCCGTGCGGCGAAGATGTGGGGTTTGCTGCACACGCAGCGCAGCCCCCGTCTGCAGGGCCGGGAGGGCGACGGTGTGAGAGACGGCCACAGCCGCCCCAGTGGTGTTGATGAGGCGTGCTACATCCAGCTGCCGAGAGTCGACGAGGGCGATGCTGCCGCACAGCAGGCCGTGCACCACACACAGACAGACCATCCCAAGGTCACCCTGCAATGCCCTTGTTGCACAATGGCCAGCGGCGGCCTCTGACGAGTGGTGTCTGTGTGCGTCTGTCTGTCCACTGCAGATGGCGTCGGCCTCGAGTGAGCACATTCCTCTGCTGCTGGACGATGGCCAAGGGCTGATGGAGCCCCAGCTGCCTGACGTCACCGATGACATCACCAAGGCACCGAGACGCTTCGAGCAGGTGTGTTGGTGTCAGTCGACTCTGAGGCCTCTCGGACGTCTGTGTGTCATCTGCAGGTTCCCTTGGTGGGTGCCCCGGCCGCCGACGATTGGGAACCGACGGACGCACTGAAAGACAGCATCTCGTGGGCCATCGATCATTCAGACGCGGAGGGCCTGCGGAGGGCCCTCGCCGGTCTGTCGCCTGAGCAAGCCGAGAAAGCGCTGACAACTGGAAAGTGGGAATATGGGGGCTCTGCCATCCATCACGCCGCACGTACGCCTCGTCGCACCACTGCACACACACATGATGCATCTGTGTGGCCCCTGTTTGTGCTTCTCAGGGTGGTGTTCAGATCTGGCGGTGTTTGAGGTGCTGCTGCACAACCGACGCCACCTGCTCAACCTGAAAAACAAGGTATCGTTCTCGACAATTACACTCATTCTGTTCATTACCGACAGCTGTCTTCACTGCTGCCTCCATGCTGTGTCTGTATCGTGGTGAGACGCCTCTCCATTTTGCAGCACTCGCAGGGTCAGTTGGTGTTGTGGAGAAGTTTATCGAGTGGGGCGGCAAGGAGCTGCTGGAAGCTCGGGACCCCGTAAGGACGAGGGAATGTCAACCGGTGCATTGAACAGCATGTGTCTTCTTCATGCTGTGTCTGTAGCTTGGCCGGACGCCTCTTCATGATGCAGCAAGTCAGTGACTCCTGCAAATGACAGCCACACGAGTGCATGAGTCTTCAACGTGTCTCTTTGTGCTCTCCTGCAGACTATGGCGAAGTTGATGTGGTGGAGGCGATGGTGAGGGTGGACCCACAGCTGTTGAATATCAAAGACGAAGTAAGATGTGCTGCACATATCAAGTTGCGTGTCGTCCATCTTCATGACTGTTACAGGACGGAAAGACGCCTCTCGACCGTGCCCTTTACCGAAAGGAAGTCGTCGGTGCGATGCTTGCCGCAGCTGGAGAGTTGACCATGGAGCTGCTCGGGGAAGATGAGGAGGAACTCAGCCACGTGCTGAAGGATCCAGAGCTCCTTCCCAAAGCGGTTCCCTACGCGAAATACGGCTTAGGACAGTACGTGCGACGATGTGATTCGCCGGGCGTCGACAGTCTCAGGTGGTGCTCTACCTTCCGCCGATTGATCAAGACTCGGCGGAATGACTCCCTCACAGAGTGAGATGGACAGAGAATCGGAGCACAATGCGAGTCTGCGCCTTTTTCCCCCTTTTGTTTTCTGTGCAGTGACTTTGAGAGGGCAGCAGGCTGGACCGAAGTAAATGTTCCACACACACACGGCGTCCTCTACTTTTGCGTGTGATTATCCAATCGCTTCAGGCGCTCACGGCTAACTTCTGCAGCGATACAGACGAAGCCTTGTTCCGAAACTCACTTAAGGGCAAAGAGAGAGAGTGGTTTGCGCTGCTGGAATCTGCGGAGCCCCTGACCGTCGTGACTCAAGGTAACCCACAGCAGAACTTCCCCCCTTTTTGGCTGTCGGCCGCTCATGGCGTCGTCCTGCTGCCAATGATTGTGACAGCCAACTGCATCTCTCTCGTCACAAAGCATTGGCAGCCACCACCATATGAAGCAGGGGCGCTTCAGTTTGCACCCCGTGGTGTATTACCCGCGTGCTGTCAATGCTGCTGATGTGAGGCTGCAGCTATGGACTCCAATGGAGGCAGAGAGAGCGCATGGCACCTCCCCTCTCTGTGTGTTGCAGGGTGGCGTTTGTGCTGCTGCACATCGAGTCTATCAGAGGAGACAGCATGATTGAGAGTGCCGTGATGGGCCAGTCGGTGTGGCTGTGGGGGGCGGTGCTGACCGGCAGTGGCTTCGTGATTCAGGAGGCCTTCCAAGTGAGACATACAGTATCGCGGAGATATGACTGAGAAACGCTGACATCCCCTCTGTGTGTGTGCAGGGCATCCGGCTGAAGGCAGCGTACTGGGCCGACTCATGGTAGGAGTCTGAAATGCAGAGGCAGCCGTGCTGGCGGCCTCATCTTTATGGCATACATCACTGCAGGAATATTATCGACATGTCTTCAAGCCTGGCGATCGCCGCCTTTATTGCCATTCACTTCCTAGGCTACTCGTCGGAGGCGGAAGTGAGCTCAGGGATCGTCATAGCGCTGCTCTTTGCGCTGCGCCTCCTCCAAACGGCCAGCCTGCAGCCAACCGTCGGACCACTCATACTGTCAGTGAGAGAGAGAACCACACGGACACACAGAGAGAGATGTCTCATGCTGTGTGTGTGTCAGTGCGGTAGTGAGGATGTTTTCGGACATCAGCATCTTTCTGTGTCTGTACGTCTACATCCTGCTGGTCTTCGCGGGCGTCTTCACCGTCCTCTCGTCCGACGAAGACCACCAGTACTTCGGCTCCTTCCCCAAAGCCACACTCACTCTGTGCGCATGGGACCTCCTGAGAAGACACACAGAGGAAGGGGACACCGGCCCCTCTTCGTCTTGTTGTGTTGTGCAGTTTCTTTGCCGGACAGGGCGACTTCAACGAGGCTCTTTCCAACGCCATCGAGAGCCACGACACGCTGGGGGCCGTCCTGCTGTTCACATACGTCATCCTCTCCTCCATCATACTCGTACGGCGGCACCACTCAGACACTCAGCAAGACGCACACAAGACTCCCTTTGTCTGTCTGTCTCTGTGTCTGCCGGCATCCATCGATAGCTCAACCTGCTCATCGCCATCATGGTGAGACAAACACGAGACACACAAGAGACGTCGAGTGGGCCATGTGGCTGATCAACGCTCCTGTGTGCATCAGGCGTCGACGTATGCGGCCATCGAGGAGACACAGGCTGCACAATATCAGTATCAGAGACAAGGGAGACAGACAGACAGACAGCGGCACATAATGGCCCTCTCTCCGCTCATCTACTCAGGCTGCTGCGGATTCGCGTGTTGAATAAGTATCTCACAATGCCGCGGCACGAGAGGCTGCCGCCGCCATTCAACCTCATCGGTCAGTTGTGTGCCACAAGAGACATGAGGGCATCTGCCTGTGTGTGTGCAGCTGTGGTCGTGTCGGAGCCCCTGCGATATCTCGCCAACCTCATCAGCGAACAACGGCGGGAGCAGTCGGCACTCTGCCGCATTGCCTTCTGGTCGATGAAGGCCCTCACCGTCGACGGACTCCTGCTTGTCGTGGCCTTCACACCCGTGACCATCTACAGACTGCTGACTGAGCGTCTTCCACAAGTGATACGGGAGAGAGACTTTGGGCTGGTACTGTGCGTACCCCTTGCCATCCTCCTAATGCCCGTTCTTCTTCTGTGCCAATACGCCCAGCGAGTGAGGGTCAAAAGACACGTCAAATGAGAGAATCAATGACCTCGTCTCGTTTCTATGGAATGTTCGCTCGGCAGGGGCTGTTTTCTTCTGACGCCACGGAAACTGACACTGACAGTCCGGAGATGGCTGATGACATGCGCGAAGCAGGGATCAAATTCAAGGACCGCATCGACAAGTGGATTGAGGCCGCGGATCATCACAATTCTAACTTCCCTGACGTCATGGCAGGTGAGACAGGGCCTATAGGCAGGCATAAGGCGTTTCATGCCGAAGGCGACAAAGCAATCTATATTGACTTCTCCCTTTTCTCTTGTTTGTATTGATGCAGCATTGGAATCGATGGAGAGACAACACGACGCCCGGCATTCACAGATCGAGAAGCGATTGACGGAGATGGAGGCAAGGATGGAGGAGCACATCAAAGAGATCAAGGCGAAGCTCAAATGAACATGAAAACACCAATTGCCGACGTGCCTCAGTCTGTGTGACGCCATTTACCTTCCAGACTCATACAGTACTGGTCACAGATAAGCGGGAGGCACCATTTGGCGAACCTTGAGACATGAATCAATGCTATGAAACATCCATCTCATAGCACCTCCTATACCAATGCGACTCGGCCCTCTACACTTTTCGTGCTCTGGTTTGTGAGGGTGAGTGCATGATGCTTACTGAGACGAACGCCGTGAGCATATGATGGTTTGTCGAAGCGAACAGCAAACCCGTTGCAGTGAGCGACGGATAATCCAACGAACTGTTGACTTTAATTTGATGGTTGAAGCAAAGAGTGGGTCACACAAGTCGAGCTCATGACCATTCCTCGCTGAACACGCAACCGACAATGAGAATGACCGAGGACCAACAGTCATCTTCCAGACGAAAAGAAACGACAGAATTCCCTCCATGAGATCCCTCCCTCCCACAAATGAGCCCCAGCTGGTGAGTTCCCAGCGACGAAGAAACGATGAGGAAAACGAAGGAGGCAAATGAGACGAGGTGGTGGTGTGGACGTATCCCGACCTTCTCGATGGAGCCAAGACTAGCTATCTGGCTAGCCAGAGAAGGTCTGATGCGTGTCTGTGCGGTTGGCTGGCTGGCTGACTGACGAACGTGGAAATGCACTCATCGAGGGCACTTAGCTGGGCTACCAGTTCAGTTACACACACAGCAATCAGATACCAACCAGCACAGCAACCTAATCAAACACTACAGCAGCACGAAATCCGGGAGGGGTAAGAAGCAGACTGCAGCGAGGGAGGGAGAGAGGCCGCCTCTCCAGCTGTCTTGCCTGCCGTGGACTCATCAGGTATGTGTGTCTGTGTCTGTGTGGGTCTGCAGAGCGCTGCATCGTACACGGACATCGGAGAGAGTCAGCACGGAGTGAGTGCATTATTACCAAAAATATGTCAGGCAATGATGGGTCGATGTCGGCACGTAGTATGTACCCGACTGGCCGGCAAAGAAAAACAGACGTGACTGTGACAAATGGGCGACGACACTGCCCACCGACCGGCGCATCCCGTGTCATGCAGTTGTGGTCGGCCGGTCGGGATATCAGGTCCCGCCCCCACTCTGCGACCGCCGCACTGCTCACAGAAAGGCCAGACGACCGGCTGCTGGGCGACGCAACGCAACGAGCACAAGGGAAGACGGGACACGACAGACACACCACAGAACGCCACAGCCAGACCAACACACAAAACAACACAGACAGCCCCATAAACCAACCCACCACACCCACACACACACACGCATTCCATGGCGAGCGACCCAGCGACCGAAAAGAGTGAGAGAAACTAAACGAGTGGTGGTGTTGGCTCGGCTGGCCGGCACATCCCCAGGTTCACGCAGTGACGACACACACAAGGGGGTCGGGATATCAGGTCCCGCCCCAAGCAGTGACCGCCACACACGCGCCCCTGGAGAGGCCGGCCAGCCAACAGACGAAACGGCGGCAAAGGAAATCGGTTCATGGGGAAAAAAGAACGAATGGACAACACGAGAAGCCTGCGAGTGAGCGGTAGTGGGCCTTGTGACACAGCGTCAGGATCTCTTCCTCCTAAATGGCTTGGTGCGAGAAGAAGTGAAGCCTTGGCTGGAGCAGTGCTGTTAACCGCCGTGGCGTTGGCGTCAGCTGTGGCTATGCACAGCTGACGGCTGCACACACACACAGAGAGAGAGAGAGGGGGAGAAGCAGAGAGAAAGCAACACACACGTTGTGGTGACTGATTGACGCTCCTTGCTCCCCCCACTGGCCTCTCCCTCCCCTGTCCTCCCTGTGCACCCACCTGGTCGGTTTCCGGGATCACGGGGCACATCTGGCCAGATGTGTCGCGTCGCTCAGGTGTGTGGGCTGCTGCGAGATGGTGTGGGGGCATCTGCAGCGCGGAGACGGCACTCCCGCGGCCGGACACGAACCCACCAGCACCTCTACGCCCACATGTGACATGAGATGATATGACCTCCGCCATATGTATGTGTAGGTCTCGTACCTTCCTCCTCCCGCACGAGTTTTGCACTCCCACACTTCCCTCTAGCGCCGTACATCATCACTGGGGAAAGACAGAGACCGACAAACCCGACAGCCGACCGACGCCACCCCACTCCCACTGCGGTGTCTGCACTGGTCGCCTTGCTGGGCTGGGGGTCCTTCGCCGCGCGCGTGGCCTCGCTGGGTGTGCGTGTGCAAGCACGGGTCTGTCGCGTCGAGTCGACGGGTCTGTCGAATTATCGACTTCGCCCGTACCGAGCCTGTCGAGTCGGCTTCGCTTCGAGTCGGCTTCGCTCGTGCGTGAGAAGGGGAGTGAGCGCTGCCCGGCGACTTGTAGGTGTGTCAGGCACCATCGAGGCAACCCTGCAGACACACACGATATGACACAGGACCAATGAATGACGTCAATCTGACCCCTGACACCCACGCATGCTTGCCTGTGAGGTGAGGTGGGGTCCCAGTGGATGCGCAGTAGAGACTTGAGAACCATGAGGGCAGTACATATTGGACGACTGCCGCACGCACCCGCGCAGCGCCCCCAGAAGGTCGGCGACAAACTTCTCTGTCGCGTTAAACTCGCTGCTGCTTATGCGGCCGGACCACCGCCGCTGGGCCCCTCTGTGCGCATCGTGTCAGCCACCTTGATGATGACGGTCGTGACCAGCCGCAGGGTGGTGGAGGAAGGGCACGACGTACCTCGCCGTGTCGAGGGGCCTGGTCTTGGTGTGTGGCCTCTACCCACAGGGCGTCGTCGGGCGCCGCTGTGAAGACTGGAGGAGGAGGTCGACTGCACCAGGCTGTACACAAACGAGGGATTGGTTGCGCTGCAAGTGGGTCACCCCACTGAACCAACATGAATGACACCGTCTGCACACAACAGGCAGGAAGCAATGCATGGAAGCACCGTGGGTTCACACCCCCCCCCCCCCCCCCCCCC